GGCGAATCGCTGAAACTGCTAGCCATATAATTGGTTAGCAATTTGAGCGAATTCCCACGGATGGCGCCACCGGTCACAAAATTGTGGTATTCCGCGATTAAATGCGTTTTTAACAGTGTTCTGATTGTTTATTGTTATTTTCAATGACAGGGGATTAATCTACGTTCTTAATCTCCGCACGCATCTTTCTCCAAATCCTAGTTACCAGGCAAAGACTAAACACGTACGATATCTGGCTTCTCAATACAAACCAGAGGGATCGGCAAACAGTCTTAGTGTGCAGACCCACTGCTCGTACCCCAAGAAAATGTGGAGTAGGAGTAGTGGTAGGGTTAATAAACAACACATGTATACCATTAAATGCTTTTTATTGAATAAATCAGAAGAAAATGTATAAATTACAATATTACTGGTATAAATTTACGAACAATTACCTTAAATACTATTTCTGTATTGGTTACCGGCAGAGGACTACTGCAAATTATTACACACGTCTATCGCATGCCAGCGGTAACCAAAATTTCGGCGACAGACTTATGAAACCTTTATGAAGTTTTGAAGACTGCACGGAAGACTTGCAAGTGACAGAGGAGGGAATTATTTGCGGCATATAAGTTACAATATTTTATAAGCCTGAATAATATCTAAGCCTACTTTTTCTGAATTTATATAAATATCATTACAAGTATATTGTAGAATCATAAAGATAAGTAGGATTTAAGTAAAATAAGTATCTAAGGGCACTTTTATTGAATCTATACAAATATTATTATAAAAGATTATAAATATATTGTAAAATGATATATGTAAATAGTACTTAAGGCAATTGTTGTTAAATTTATAGAAATACTATTGTAAATTGTATATTTGCGTACGATTTGTTCAATAAAAAACAGTTAATTCATACATATGCATTATTCATTAATCCCGGCACTATCTCCACTCCTATTCCTGAGGTTTCTTTAAGTTTTGGAAGAATTTCTGGAATTAGTTCCACTTTCCGCCACCAACTGATGGGGGCGCCACAAACGTACAAGTTTTTCCGTCATCTTAAATTTTGAAAAAGCGCAGGAAAAATTGGGATTCATGGGACATACTAGTGGCGCCCCCAAAAAGTGGGTGGCGAAAGTTGGAACTAAATCCAGAACTTGGTTTTATGAAATAGATTAGAAGTTCGCAGCCATTGGCTCGATATTGTCTTCAGTTTATAGTACTTTACCGATGACAATACCGATTGCCCAGGCCTCACCACGAGGAGGTTGCTGCGAGTGGAGGCCCAAGGCAGGTAGATGGAATCACAAGTTCTACATCTTCCCACCTTTCACAATAAACCTTATAAAT